CCGTGGGTCAGGGCTTCCGACGGGGGAGGGGCAGTGGGGGGGAGGGGAGCAGGGGTCCCCGTGGGCCAGGCGCAGGGGGGTGTTTCGTGCGTGCAGGGGTAGTTACAGGTTCCCCTGGGACACTCTACTCAGCTGTGCCCTTTGCTCACCCTGCCCTGGACGCACTTGTCCCTGGTTTCTGAGTTTCTTAGTCAGGCCCCGTGACAGGGACAAGGAGGCGAAGGGCACCAGGCGTGACCCGTCCCCAGCTAGCAGTGTCTCCCGCTGGGGGGCTCGTCCCCAGGGTTGGGAATGTAGCCGCCGGCCCCATGAATTCCCTGAGCTTCAAGCCACTAACCGCACGTTCATTCCCACTGGGGCACAGCGGGCTCCCAGCAGCGCATCGGCCTGTCTTGTATTCAATTGTTTGCTGGGCACCCAGGTTGGACTGGCTGGTGGTGGGGGTGCGTAGCATTGAGGAGTCTTTTTTAACCTGACTAGCAAGGTTGCCAAAGTCAACATTCCCTAGTGACGAAATGAAATCAAATAATTCCACTAACTTCTGTAGTTTGACAGCATCACATACGGTTTGGTCTTCACCTTGGCACCTCACAGTCATCTTTAACCAACACCCTCACGCTGAGGGTCACTGCTGCTTGTCAGTGGTCCAAGAACAGGGAACCACAGGGGCAATTCTCAAAAAAGAAGAGTGGTGATTTACCCTGGCTGTATTCTCAGTTGAATAATTTATAGCCTCACATTTGAATTTACAAGTTTACAAAATGGCTGGGAGGAGCAGTCGATCTGCTGTGAATGCACTAGAATCAATGCACTTAGCATGGTAACCAAGTACACAAAGATGTGTGACTCACTGCAATGAAATGTCACACTTGTGTAATCTTTCAATGTAAACTCTTTTCCTCTCATAAACTATTTGTAAGTGCACACAATGTATGTATGGTGATATGAGTCAGCCAAGAAAATGTCCTGAGTTGAATTCTGAATGAATGTGTATGTTCCCTGGCTAACATGCTTAGTGTCTGTGGCAGTTTATATTCTTGTGATTTCAGCAACTGCTACAAAAATATTTTGTTTCTAGGGTACACAACTGTAAGTGTAAATTGAACTGTAAAGGTCTAGTTAGATTCTGTTTTCCATTATGTGCTGGACACACATGAGTATGTAACCCCATAGTCACTCTGTGTCACCTAAAGTATATTGTGTTTACTTCTTTGAATAAAGGAAACATTGAGTGAATATTGAAGATGAAAGCCAAATACATGAAATAATAGGTTCTCTGCCTCCAGTTTCTCTTTGTCCTCTATAGAGCTGTTCAGTTAAAAAGAAATCAGTAAACTCCATGCGCTGAATGTGAAGAGTTTATTTATTTTGTGAGTTACTAGTTACTTGCAACCCTTGCAATAATTTGCCACAATCTTCCTCTTCTTCATTATCATTGTGCTAATACTGTTTGATTTTTCACCTGTACAAGTCTTTTTAATAAATATCCCAAAACAGATTACACTGATTTAATTTACACCCAAGTAATTTTCGAATAATGCCACTGAGGTTACAGTAATTTGTAAAAGCAGTGTCTCTGAGATTAGAAGGAAATTATTACAAAATGTATTCTTTAATCTGCTGTGAACAACATACTAATGGATGAGATTTGGGAAGCCTTCAGCTAGAACAGGACACAAGATACTCCAGTTTCAAAAAATTGCGTATTATGTTGGCAAACTTGATTTTTATATTACTAATTGCTGGTTTATGTTGGCTTTCTTATGTCGAAGGGAACCTGTTACCAGCTTTTTAACAGATTGTAATTAAGACCCTAAACTTTAATGAACGAGTCAAACCTACTGCTGTGTAAAAGGAATACAGCACCACAGAAAGGCTGCAACTGCATCTGTTGGTGATTGCACCTGAGTCTGCAGCAGGACATGCCTTGTCTATCCAACCTTTTAAGTCAGCACTGAATTCTATTGAGTGCTCCTTTCTCACTGGACAGTTCATGAAAGGCCTCAGCTTGGCATTCCATGGAATGATTTGGGCTGAGATCGGGATCAGGCCTGTTAACTTATTAACCATTATTCTGCTCACAACTATGGCATCAGCAATATATCTTGAATGTTACATATTGTGTAAGCAGGAAAGGTAGGTACCGTATTAACATAGCTCTACTTCAGCTACATACCAAACAATTGCAGAGTAATTCCTTTGTGTTCATAATCTGTTAGAAAATGTAGCTTTGAATTGCATACTTGAATTAGTGCTCATGGAAGGTGTGAGACCAGCCATGCTAAGACTAAATTCTTTTCTCTATCAAGGAAATGACCGTAAACTTCCTTCCCAGACCCAGAGGGACACCTCTTGTCTTTCAGCCAAATTAATCTCTAGTGTAATTCCACTGATTTCAGTGAAATAACATCAAATGAATTTGATCTTCCATGTGTAATCAGACCTTGCTAAAACAGCCAACAGAGTAGATTTTTTGGGGTCTATTGGGCATCATATATTTGATACATATTATGTAGGTAAGTTAACATGGTGCTGAGATGCTATCGTGAAAGATGTGCAGAGACTACATTAGCTATGCAGTACAAATTGGTAGGTGGTATTATGAGAAACTGTCATGTCTTGTGATATGATGCAACCCAGTTTTTCTCCTTTTGTCTGTCAGATCCCATGTTTCTTACTTCATTGTAGTTTGCTTCCATGAGAGTTGGTCTTCCCTTTTCCATCTTCCACCAAACGGTATCAACTCAAGGGCTTGCACAAGGGAACTTTCTGACATTTGTACAACATGCTCATACTATTTCAGCCTTCTTTCTCAAATCACTTTCTCTGCCATCTGTTGACCAGTTCTTTTAACACATAGGCATTAGTTACTTTATCCCACCAGTCAACACAGCATATTCTCTCCAAGAATGTGTGATTAGGTTCCTGTTGTTAGCTTATAACATTTGCCAAGTTTCAGAAGAATATTCTAATGTGGGCATCACAGTAAAACGTGTAAGGTCTTGGCTCTTGTTAGGGATGTAAAATCCTGATTAACTAGTTAATCAGTTAAATGTTGTTTAACCAGTTAACTGCTTAACCAAGATCCCATGGGTGGGGGGTTACTCCAGCCCTTCTGGGCCACCAGTTAACCAGTTACTGGTATGCATCACCCTTACTGGTGATAACTGGTTACATCCCTAGTTCTTGTGTGAATCTCCTGACTTTTTCAAATATTTGGTAGTCTTAAACAAAACCCCTCCATTTGCCTTCCCAATTCTTTCTTTTGCTACTTATGGAGTTGTCCATCAACACTGATTGTATTTCCTAGATATATAACCATCATTGCTGACTCCTCTCAATCTTCATAACTTTAGTTTTGACTGATTGTTAATCCTACTTTGGCAGCCTCGTGTTTGACATTGATAGTGGTCTTTTTCATGGTATCATAATTTGTGTTCAATGTAATCTGAGAAGTTAAGATCTTGAAAATTTCCTTTATTTCACATTACACCTGTATCTTCATTTGATGTTGCTTTTTGCATAATGCAATCTATCACAATGCAGAAAAAGGAGCGATAAGAAGTGACTCTGCTACACTCAAGTGATGCTATCAAGCCAATTGGTCTCTCCATTTTTTCTCTTTTGAACCTTCATACAACCTATTGACTCGTGACACTATCTTTCTAGGAAGCCCATTTTGCCTCAAGATCTTTCATAGCACCACTCTGTGAATGCAGTCAAAAGCTTTGGTGAGGTCTATTGACATTCCAGACTAATTTTGTCAGGTAGGCAAACCCTTTCTCAATCATTTGTAAAGGTGTGATCTAAACATGATCTTTTAGTCTAAACGTGCTTGCTCATTATGTGATTTTTTTTGTCAGTGACCAATTTGATTCTGTTCAATAGTACAGTGCAGAACACTTCCAGATACTGAAAGTAATGTTCCTCGACAGTGAGCTCAGTCGGTTGCTTTTCTTGGTAGTTTACAAATCACACCTTTTTTCCAATCCTTTGGGCAGAGTTCTTTCTCCCAAACGATATTGCAAAGTTTATGTATTTCATGTACAACCACATCCTCCCACCTTTCAAGCATATCAGCAGAAAGTTTATCTTGACAGGGCACTTTGCCATTTTTAGCTGCTTAATAGCTTTTTCTATTTCTGCTTCTGAAATTTTTAAGAGTGAAATGATTCACCGTCTTCAGATCCATTGGTTGGGATTGTTGGCTTTGATTGGCTGAGTACTAAATTAACATATACTCCCATCTTTCCTTTTGTTCCGTTTCCACTGTTACAATCTTATACCTTTTCCCTTTAAGATACCACTGTGAATCTGAAACCATGCTGACAATTACTTACACACCTCACTAATGCTTCCTCAGTTTCTCTAGCTTTTTTTAATCAAGCCATTCTCTCTTATGGGTTTGGTGGTTTCTTTCTTTCATTATCTTTTTCTACCAACTCTGACTAGAACTTAGGTTGCTAGCTAGGTATATAATTTTTTTAAAATATGCAAAAACATGGGAAGCTGGTTATGAGTCAACAGCATGCCCTTGTAGCCAAGAAAGCTAACGGCATACTGGGTTGCATGAGTGGGAACACTGACAG